TGTGTTCAAGTGCCAATTAAAAAATCAAGTAGCTCTTCTATTAGTTCAAGTAGCTCCTTTAAGGATGTCTGGTTTTTAGCCCAGTTCCCACTAGCACAGGTGAAGTAATCTTCTAGGTATGGTAATGTTGATGAATACACTTACCAGGTTTTGCCCACTCTAAGCACCAGGATCTTGACTGTAGTCATTTGACATAAGCCCATCTGGTCCAGCTATGCCTGCATGATTCCTGAATGGGGTTCTTTATCTTGGGACCTTGTGAATACAGCAGAATCACTGGTTGCGAGTGAGTAAAGCTAAACCCTGGAGTGAAAACTATGTCATTTATTCTAAGGTTCCCCTGACGCTGTGTTCCTCTGAGTCTGGAGGATTGTCAGGGGCCACTGATAAAGACTTCTAGCTCATGAACTCTAGGGAGCTGCTGGGAAACCTTCTTTGGGGATAACCGAAACAACAGCTTCTGTGGTGCTCTGGATTCCATTCCTCTTCTATGCCCCGCTCCATTCTCATCTCACTCTATCTGGGACGGAATGTTATGTCTGAATCAGTGCCCTTTGTTTTAGTCTCTCCATTTCCATTCACATGAGAATTCCTTTCCTGTGATATCTTTCTCTTTAGTGGCTTCCTCCAAGAAGCACTACAAAATGTTGTCTGCTTACCCCAGAAATAGCTTCCTTTTCTGTGTGCCTGTGCAGGGGCTTGCTCTGTCTGTCTCTGTCTAACCTGGGTGCCCTAGGATCTGTCTTTGTATCCTTTCTCTTTGTCGTATCATACAGTGACCAACCATATTGATTTGCCCAGAACTGTCCTGGTTTTAGTACTGAAAGTCCGATGTCCTGTGAAACTCCTCTGTTGGTCACTTTCAGAGGGCAGAGACATTGTATATGCCTTTGATAGAAGAAGTTATTTCCTGAATGGAACCCAAGTTGAAAATAAATTCACTCCCTATTAAGATAAAGCAGACCTGGGTTGGGTGCAGTGGCTCAAGCCTGTAATCCCAACATTTTGGGAAGCCGAGGCAGATGGATCACCTGAGATCAAGAGTTCAAGACCAGCCTGGCCAATATAGCGAGACCCTGTTTCTATAAAAAATAAAAATAATTTTAAAATACTTTTTTTTAAAGCTGAAAGGAGAGCTGACCTTGGTCAAGGCTACACAGAGAGCTAGTGGCAGAGCCACACCAGAAGCCAGATGCCTGCTCCCTGTTCAGGGCTCCCAGGTATCCTCTATGGGAGGGTCCCTGAAGCTTTCCCATCTGGCAGCCCAGACAATGCTGGGAGCTATCCATGTTCACATCTGCTTCCTCACCAGACTAGGGGTTCCCTGGGGCCTGGGATGTGTTCTGACCCCTCTTTTACAAAACCAGCATATCAGTGGGGTCTGGGCACCTGGCTTACCAGTTTTCCACAGGCAGACTGGACCATGACTGTCCTGACAACCTCAGGGCTTCCTGTCCAGTGCTGCTACAGAATCAGACAACACTGGACTCTATAGAGAGCTCCTAGTCCAGCTCCTGTATTGCTGCTGATAGGCAGGGGGAGGCCCAGAAGGGGTTCTGACCCAGCCACAGTCACACAGATGGTAAACCAGCAGCATAGCCTGCCCACCCGGAATGCTCTAAATCAGAGCACAAAGAGTTTGGCTCAGATACCTTCTCCTAGAGCCCCTCTCCTAGCGGGATGAGGGTCCCTAACTGCCCACCTCCCCAGATGCTGTCTTCCCAGAGCCTAGCCCCTCCTTGACTATGACAGGCTTTGGGCACTTCACTTTCAGCCTTCATACCCGAGACCTCTGCAGGTCGGCCCAGCTCATCTGCCCAACCCAGGCCATGCCAGCTGCTCCTTCCTCTCCCCAAGCCAGTGCTGCCTCAGTGGGAAGAACCAGGTTGGAGCTGAGCCTATCCCATTAAACCCCCAAGCTCTACCGCTTCTTGGCCTGCTGAGGCCTTGACCCCCAGAGGTTCCCTTTTACTGGGCCCTGAATAATATTTTCTGGGGACCCCCATGTGGCTGGTTAGCAGTTACCATGGGCTTTGCTGATAATTAGAACAACAAGATTAATAGTGCTCAGTGGGACACAGAACTTTATGGTCTATGGGGACTTTCCCACATATGGAGCAACTATTGGTATCCACACATGACAGATGAGGAAACAAGCTCAGAGGTGAAAGGATTGCCCAAAGTCACACAGCAATCCAAAGACAAGGCAGATTTCCTAACTCTCACTCCAGCCTCTGCACCAACTAATGACACAAATGAAAAAGTTTGTGAAAATTTTCTGTGTAAATGTAAAATGCTGTGCTATTGGCTGCTGGGATCCTTCAAGTGTATTGAAGCTGGAGGAACAAGCGTGACAGAACAGAGAGCCACTCAGTCTCCCAAATCCACACTCTTGCCCTCTCTTGCTCACTCTTAATCGTTCTTAGAGGCTGATATGGCTTGGCTCTGTGTCCCCACCCAAATCTCATCTTGAATTGTACTCCCACAATTCCCACGTGTTGTGGGAGGAACCCAGTGGGAGACAATTGAATCATGGAGGCGGCTTCCCCCATACTGTTCTCTTGGTAGTGAACAAGTCTCACGAGATTTGATGATTTTATCAGGGGTTTCCGCTTTTGCGTCTTCCTCATTCTCTCTTTGCCTGCTACCATTCATGTAAGACGGGATTTGCTTTTCCTTGCCTTCTGCCATGATTGTGTGACTTCCCCAGCCAAGTAGAACTGTAAGTCCAATAAACCTCTTCCTTTTGTAAATTGCCCAGTCTCAGGTATGTCTTTATCAGCATTGTGAAAAAGGACTAATACAATCAATTGGTACCAATAGAGTGGGGCATGGCTGAAAAGATACCCAAAAATGGAGAAGCAACTTTGGAACTGGGTAACAAGCTCAGGTTGGAACAGTTTGGAGGGCTCAGAAGAAGTCAGTCTTGAGTATGTCTTTATCAGCAGTGTGAAAATGGACTAATACCCAGGCCTTATAATTCTAAGCCCAACCTCCTCCAGGGAGCCTTCTGTGATGTGGAAGCGACTTTGGAACTGTGTAACAGGCACAGGTTGGAACAGTTTGGAGGGCTCAGAAGATTGCCCAATCTTGAGTATGTCTTTATCAGCAGTGTGAAAATGGACTAATACAGAGGCCTTATAATTCTAAGCCCAACCTCCTTGAGGGAGCCTTCTGTGACTTCATCTTCCTCCAGCCTCCAGTGCTCTTTCTCTCCTCTGGATTGACCAGGACTGGCTGCCAATGCCGCCATTTTAAAGATTAGGATAGCCGAGGCTCATTCTTCATTCCACATTGAATGAGGTTGGCTTTGCACCGGGTGTGTGGTCACAGGCAATTGACACAGTCTAGTGGGGTAGCCAGTCAAAACCTTGTCCAAACCTTGTCCATCATATCCACTGTGATCTGTGCTACTGTAGAGCTGAAGGGCCCAGAGGAGGAAATGAAGCCGACTTGCATCATGGAAGACATCTCTTAAATGGGTCATAAATTTCAAACAGATGAATAGAGTGCAGGCCACAAAGGAGGGGGTAAACAAAGTCATGAAGTGTAGAAAAGGCAGGAGGTGTGTTAGAGGGGAGATAGAAGTTGGTTTGGGCTGCAATATAGAAAGAGAGACTGGGGGTCTCCAAAGATGAGGCTAAAGAGGTTGGCAGGGGCCAGAGGGAAGAGAGTCTTGAAGCCAAGGACTAAACACTCAGCATGAGGACATTGGAAAGCCAGAACCAGGCCTCAGACAGAGGACTAACATAGGTAGCTACATGTTTGAGAAGGCTCATACACACTGTGCACAGAGAATGTCTTGGAGTGGGAGAGAGAGACCAGAGGCAGGGCAACCAGCCAGGAAGCTTGGTGGTGAGGAGAAGAAGAGGGAGGAGTATTAATGACAATGATAGCAGATGATGGCTGCCCTTTATTGAGAGCTTACTTGTACTAATGGCTGTGCCCTGGTAGTCACATACTTCATTTCATTTAATCCAAAGAGCAATTTCCATTACCTTTGTTTTATAGATGAGGGAGCTCAGAGGGTTAAGTAACTAAGCCTGCTTTGGTCATTCTGCTGGACAAATAGTGAGTTAGTGTAGAGTCCAATCCATCTGCAAAGCCATACCTCTTAACTGTAAAAGCTTAGAGAATCTGGCTGGGCATGGTGCCTCACGCCTGTAATCCCACTTTGGGAGGCTGAGGCAGGTGGATCACTTGAGGCCAGGAGTTCGAGATCAGCCTGGCCAACATGGTGAAACCCCACCTCTACTAAAAACGTAAAAATTAGCCAGGTGTGGTGGCACATGCCTGTAATTCCAGCTACTTGGAAGGATGAGGCAGGAGAATCTCTTGAACCTGGGAAGCAGAGGTTGCAGTAGGCCAAGATCAAGCCACTGCATTCCAGCCTGGGCAACAGAGTGAGGAAAAAAAATTTGGAGAATCTTCAAGAGGTAGAATAGTCAGAATTTGACAACTGATTATGGAAAGGTCCAAGATGATGCCCAGTATTCTGGTTTGGGGGACAAGACATGGTGGTGATGTTGACTGATGTCTGGAGCTCAGGAGACAGAGTGGATGCAGGCGAAGACTTGGGAAGCATATACTAAGGACAGTGAACAAGATCACCTAGGGAGAGAGTGTAGTGTGAGAAGGACAGAACCTTGGGGCGAAAACAACATGAGACTGAGGCAGAACAAGAAATGTCTGCAAAAGATACTGAGAAACAACAGCCAGAGAGCACGAAGCAAAACCAGGAGAGTGTAATATCACAGAGGCTCCCTAGGGCAGCTGTGGTCAGCAGCATCAAATGTTGCTGATGTGCCCAAGAGGACGAGAACCAGATGAAAAGTGTCTGTGGGGTCCAGTGATGAAGGGTGCCCCAGGTGTGAGCTGGTGCCCCAGACGTAAACAGGCCAGTGGAACAGTGAGCATGGAAGGTTGAGAGTGAGTAAATGGAGAGAGAATAGATAACGTCTTCAAGATGTTTGCCTGTAAAGAGATGACGTGGATGGGCGCCTCGCGAAGATGGTGGCGCGCGCGGCATGTGGTGCCTGTGGTCTGGCCAAGTCTCAGCGCAGCGCACCGGCCGACGTCTCGCTGTCCGGGAGCCCACACCCACCGGGTCCCTGACCCTGCGCCCCCCCGCGCCCCCCGCGCCCGGTTCCCGGCATGCCTCGCGCCCGTTACGGGCAACACGCTCCGGAAGGGTGGTCCGCGCCGTGGAGGAGGTGCCCGGAGCAGTACCCAAGCTGACTCGGGTTGCAGTGATGATGAGGCAGCCAGTGAGGCCCGCAGCACCGCCAGTGAATGCCCCAGGCTTCTCAGCACCACTGCAGAGGGCAGCCTTGGGGGGGATGTCGTGGATGAGCAGGGCCAGTAGGAAGACCTTGAGGAAAAGCTGAAGGAGTATGTGGACTGCCTCACAGACGAGAGTCCCAAGACCCGGCAGGGTGCTCTCAAGAGCCTGCGCCTGGCCCTGGCGTCGCGCCTACTCCCCGACTTCTTGCTGGAGCGCCGCCTCACACTAGCTGATGCCCTGGAAAAGTGCCTCAAGAAAGGGAAGGGAGAGGAACAAGCCCTGGCTGCTGCTGTGCGAGGGCTGCTGTGCGTGCAGCTGGGCCCTGAACCCAAGGGTGAGGAGCTGTTCCACAGCCTGCAGCCTCTGCTGGTCTCTGTGCTCAGTGACAGCACAGCTAGCCCTGCTGCCCGGCTCCACTGTGCTTCTGCTCTTGGCCTGGGCTGCTACGTGGCTGCTGCCGACATCCAGGACCTAGTCTCTTGCCTTGCCTGCTTAGAAAGTGTTTTCAGCCGGTTCTATGGCTTGGGTAGCTCCACGACTCCTGTGGTTCCTGCCAGCCTGCACGGCCTGCTCTGTGCTGCCCTGCAGTCCTGGGCATTGCTGCTCACCATCTTCCCCAGCACCCAAATCAGCCACATCCTTGACAGGCAGCTGCCCCGGTTGCCCCAGCTCTTGTCCAGTGAAAGTGTGAACCTGCGGATCGCTGCCGGTGAAACCATTGCACTGCTCTTTGAGCTTGCCCGGGACCTTGAGGAGGTGTTTGTTTACGAGGACATGGAGGCCCTCTGCAGTATCCTGCGCACTCTGGCCACTGACAGTAACAAGTACCGTGCCAAGGCCGATCGCCAGCGCCAGGGCTCTACTTTCCGCGCCGTGCTGCACTCGGTGGAGGGCGGTGAACGTGAAGAAGAGAGAGTGCGCTTCGGCTTTGAGGTGCTCTACAGAGACAGCTGGGCTGGGCACCGGATCTACACTGCCTTCAAGGAAGTGCTGGGTTCAGCTATGCACCACCACCTCCAGAGCAATGAGCTACTCCGTGACATCTTTGGCCTGGGCCCTGTGCTGGTGCTGGATGCCACTGCCCTGAAGGCCTGCAAGGTTCCACGCTTCCAGAAGCACCTGTACAACACTGCCACCTTCAAAGCCCGGACCAAGGCTCGAAGCCGTGTGCGGAGCAAGCGGGCAGACATCCTGTGAAGCAGGACCTGCTGAAGAGGAAACTTTCTATGCCCTTGGTCCGTATTTTTAACAGAAGACAGTGCAACAACTGGTTTCCACCAGTATTTGTCACTTTATTTTTTTAATGACAAAACCAAAAACAGACATGGGGTGGGTAGCTGGGGGCCTGGACACTTGGGACCCTGGCCCCTTTGTCTCTGCACTCAGCCCTGTGGCCTCTTCCTGCCCTGTCTCAGGTCAGGCTAAATATGTGCCTGTCCCAGGGCTGTGGGGCAGGCACTAGGGGGCCTTTCCCTTCCTTTCCTTTCCTTTCTCAGGCCTTGCTCCCCCAAGTTGACCCACTCTTAGGGGGGTAGTGGCATCTGGACAAATGCCACCACAGCAAGTGGAGAGGCAAAGCTACCTGGAATGGATTTGTGTGCTGATTTTTAAGGATTATTAGAGATAATAAAACAGAATGGTCAGGCTTCTGTGGTCTTAAAAAAAAAAAGAGAGAGAGAGAGATGTGGATGGTTGGAGACTGATGAGATGTGTCCTAGTCAGTTCAAGGTTTTATAACAAAATACCTTAAACTGGGTCGTTTATAAACAACAGAAATTCATTGCTCACAGTTCTGGAGGCTGGGAAGTCCAAGATCAAGGTGCCAGTGGATCCGGTGTCTGGTGAGAGCTGCTCTCTGCTTCATAGATGGCACTTTCTAGCTGTGTCCTCACATGGTGGAAGGGACCAACAAGCTCTCTCAGGCCTCTTTTATAAGGGATGTAATCTCATTCAAGAGGGCTTCACCCTTACAACCTAATCACTTCCCAAAGGCCCCACCATTAATTACCATCACCCTAGAGGTTAGGTTGGCTTTATTTAAATTTTAAAAAAAACTTTTTTTTTTTTTTTTGTAGAGACAGGATCTTGCTTTGTTGCCCAGGCTAGTCTTGAACCCCTGGCCTCAAACAATCGTCCTGCCTTAGCCTCCCAAGTAGGTGGGAGCTGAGACCATGTCTGACCTTTTAAATTTTAATTTATTTATTCATTCATGCATTCATTTAATTTTTTTAGATTAAAGTCTCACTCCAACTCATACCAGCTGGAATGCAGTAGCACCATCATAGCTCACTGCCTCAAACTCCTGGAGTTAAGTGATCCTCCCACCTCAGCCGCCCGTAGAGCTGGGACTACAGGCGCATGCCACTATGCCTGGCTAGTTTTTTCCATTTTTGTAGAGACAGGGTCTCACTATGTTGTACAGGCTGGTCTTGAACCCTGGGCCTCAAGCAATTCTCCCACCAAGGCCTCCCAAAATGCTGGGGTTACAGGTGTGAGCCACCACACCTGGCCAAGTTTTAAGATATGGATTTTGAGGGAGCACAAACATTCAGACCATAGCAGGAAGTCAGGGAGAATTTTGTTGTACTTTAAAATTTTGAGATACTTGAGCGTATTTCCCACCATTCATGGGTAGGAAGCAGCCAGTAGAGAGGCTGAAGGAATGGGAGAGGAAGAGGATGGTCAATAGAGGAGGAGAAGGAGGAGGAGAGCTTCCGAAGCCAGTGTCTGGGCTCCCAGGGCATTGAGTGGGAGACAAGAGAGTAGAAAGAGTGTAATAAAGGTCAGTGTGCAGATTTGGCGCTGCAGGGGGAGGTCCTACCCTCACTTAAGGCTGGAGTGGTGGGGGAATTTTGTGAAGATATTGAGACTGTAGAAGTGTTTGTTCCCCATTGAATGCGACTGGGTGGCAGTATCGTGGTTAAATGCTCTGATCTTGATGCCAGACTAATTTGGATTCAAGCCTGGCATTTATCTCTCTGAGAACCTGTTTTCTCTTCTGCGAAATGGAGGATTGATCATCAGGTATTTCTTTTTTCTTTTTTTTTTTTTTTTTTTTGAGATGGAGTCTCACTCTGTCACCAGGCTGATGGAGTGCAGTGGCGTGATCTTGGCTCACTGCAACCTCTGCCTCTTGGTTTAAGCAATTCTCTCAGACTCCCGAGGAGCTACGATTACAGGCACCTGCCACCACGCCTGGCTAATTTTTTTTTTTTTTTTTTTTTTAGTACATACCCATCACCGCCACCATCCTCGCTGCCACCAGGGGGCAGTGTGGCCCCAGCGTAAGGGCATCAGCTTTGGTGGCCAAACGCACTGGTCTCCAATCTCAGCTCCAAGTATGGCCTGTGTGTCCTTGGGCGTGTGACTTCACTTCTCTCTGCCTCTGTTTCCTCTTTGTGAATGGGGGTAATAATCACGGCAATATTGGCTCGAGTGAGGTTTAGTGAGCTGCTCTATGTGAGAGTGCTTTGCAAATCAAGTGCCTCAGTTCATTCGCCACCACAGCCACAGAGATTCCACTCCCTGGAAGCCTTTCCCTCTGAGGCTTCTCACCCTGCAAAGCCTGAGACTCTCGCACTCAGCTTCTCTTTGGGATTATGCCAGTCCTGTGACAGGTGACCCTGGGTTGCCCCCATTCTTAGTCCAGTGTCTGAGAAGGGGAAGAAAAACTCCATTTGCATTGGAGCATTGGAGCAGCTCAGATGAATGAACAGGAGGAAGGCTGCAGGCAGAGGAACTGGCTGATGGGAAGCTCCCCGAGGGAATGTCCAGCCAGCTCGATGCTCGTCAGCCAAGGACACGTGGAAAGCTAGAATACGACCGTGAGTACATGCGTATTCTTTCAGGAGGAAGCAGAGAACACTTGGGTGGTGCTGGGAGGGATTGGAGGTCGTCCTTATCACATGAAGGATGGATCTGTGCTTATCCAGTGGTAAAAGGCAGGAAGGGCATTTGAGCTGAGGGAACTGTGCATACACAGGCGCCAGGGATGAAAATGTAAGGTAGGTTATAGGTGTGTGGTGATGAGCAGCAAACGTTAGGCTAAGAAATAGGCTTTGCTCTGAGGAGAAAGGCTGGGCACAATAAGATTAGGGTTTGGAGCTGGGCACAGTGGCTCATACCTGTAATCCCAGCACTTTGAGAGGCCATGGTGGGAGGATCACTTGAGCCCAGGAGTCTGAGACCAGCCTGGGCAACATAGCAAGACTCTGTCTCTACAAAAATAAAAATAAAAAAACATTAGCTGTGCATGATGGTGCAAGCCTGTGGTCCCGGCTACTTGGGAAGCTTGAAGCTGGAGGATTGCTGGTGTTTGAGGCTGCAGTGAGCTAGGGTGGCACGACTGCACTCCAGCCTGAATGACAGAGCAAGGTCCTGTCAAAAAAAAAAAAAATTAGTGTTTGGAAAGATGGCTCCAGTAGAATGTGGAGGATGGATTAGAACTAGGGAGACAGGAGTCACAGAAGATTCAGGAAGCTGTGCAGGGTTCCACAGGAACAAAGAGTGGGCTTTGAATTTAGGGAAAAGAGGGAGTAAGAGACAGAGGAATATGAAGGCAGAGTTGCCACACAGGCTGTGGGGATGGGGGCTGACTCTGAGGAGACAGGAGGGGCTCAGAACAGGGACCTGGGAGGGGCAGGTTTCCAGGCAAATGGTGAGCTCTTTGCTGAACCGGAGCTGGGGTTCAAGCCCCTCCTGTTGTAGGAGGGAAACCTGAGATTTGACAAGGAAAGTAAAATGCCCAGGGTCCGTCAAAGGCAGCAGCTTAGTACTTGGCTCATTCCGTATTCTACCTCATGGCTTAGGGACCAGTGGATGATGACTAAGTCCTCAAATTTGCCCTTTGAGACGGTTAAGTGCCGTCTCAGGGGCTTGGACTCTGGGGCCAGATTGTCTAGGTGAAGATTCTGGTCTGCCTCTTACCAACTGTGTGACCTTGGCAGGTCTCTCTGTACCTCAGTTTCCTCATCTGTAAATTGGGGGTTATAATAGGTTGTTGGGAGCATTAACGGAGCTGATACAAGTGCTTAGAATAGTGCTTAGCAAATAATGAGTATTAGTCGTAATCGTTGCATCCATTTTGAAGAAGAAACTGAGACTTAGAAAAATGAAGTATCTGCCCCATGCCACGCAACTAATGTTGGCCGAGTTCCAGCCTAAGCTACTCCAAAGGCTTGACTGGTTCACTTAAGCTGACTGCTTGCCACCCCTGGCTCTTTCTGGAGGATGGTTGGTGTCTTTAACTGAAGAGACTGGAGTCCCCAGCAGAAGGACTCTTACGAGGAGATTCTGTGGCCCTCTAAGCGTACTGTATGGACCCAGCTCTGATTCTGACACCACCATTCAGCCTGTTTGCTGGATAAATCCACTTGCTCCCCTAGTCAGAGAGCAGGCCAGAAACCAGGATCCATCAGGGACACCTGAGGCTTGGTCTCTCCCCTAGTTCCACCTAGGGGACAAAAAAAAAAACGACATGCATTTAAATAAGGACAGTGCCACTTAGAAGGTGAGATGATTTTAGACGCACATGCCAGGAAGATTTGGAGTGAGTGAATCTTGGAAGTGTGTGCGCAGAATGGTGGGGAGTGATGTGTTGGGAGTGTGATGTGAAAAGGAGAGAATCAAGCAAAATGCAAACTGATGTGCTCTGAATAAGCAGCACTGATGGAAGGAAGTTAGCCTGCTCCAGCCCCTCCTGAGACAGTTGGCACACAGGCAAGTTAGGGTGTCCTAGACACCAGAGAGAATCCACCTGGCCACATGGTTCTTATGTGAGCTGCTACGGAGGCCCCGACCAGCCGAGAAGCAGCTGCCTGTGCTCTGCTTCCTGCCTTCCCCATTCCTAGGCTCATAACCCATCAGCAGAGGAAGTGACTCATCTTCCCAGAAGAGATGGGCGGCATGCTTCCCCAGCAGCTCTCAGAAAATGTACCCGAGCCACAGAAATGAAGCCGGGCAGCGGTGGGCTGTGGGTTTCTAGAGACCACTCCGTGCGGTGCTGCTGCACTGACTTTCCAGAGCAGCTTCCTCAAGAGAAGAAAACAATCGTAACATTACCTGAATACCTATTACCCACCTATAAGCACGTGCAAAGCACACTCAGTGATTAGTTCCATCCGTCAGATGAGGAAACAGAGGTGGAATGAAGAACACATGAATCTGAGTCTCCGTTTGGAAAGATGAGGGAGGTATGG